AACATGACCGGTAAGAGGAGCCATGGTCAGCGTGATTTCTGGGTGGTGTAAACCGCTTCACAGTCTGTTATGTTTCGGTGATTGAAATTGCTGGCTGCTTTGTTGAGCGGTTTTGATCACAGCTGTGATGACGACCGTTCGCAGCCAGCTCTCTGCCTTCGAAGTCCCGTTCGCTCGCCCGCAGCATCGCTCGCCGTCGGTCGTATTGACCCCGTTCGTTTTTGTGCTGCACATTGAGCCTGTTGTGGCTTCCCTGACGGTCGATACGGGCACTGCATGGAGTGCGTATTGTCGCCGCTGCGTACGATACAGCCGTAATGGGCGCCCTGTCTCCAAAGAACGAACTCTCTACTCTGTAGCTGATGCACCTGGTCCCCTGTTTCCCCGCCTGGCGTTTTTCGGCGGGTTTCGTAACAACAAAGGCATGCCACTTGTCGGTCTCAGCTGTGGGCTGCCTTTCTGGCCAGCGTCACACCAGACGGGAAACGACACCAGCTATTGTGGGTGACGGCCGACGGGCTTTGTTACTGTCTGGGGGACGCAATAATTGCCACACCCCGCCACTGCGGTCCACGAAATTGACCAAAGTGGGTTAGTTTGTGGTGGGAAATGAGATTCCCTTTGTTTTCTTATGTTTGTCGAAGTATTTTAGATGTCCGAACTCCGAAATGAGCCTTTTCTCATATTTTGTTTGAATGTTTTAACCCTCGCACGACCAGGCCATTTCTCATAACACGAACGACCAGGGGGGGGGGTTGTTACGACCCCCCCCCCTGGCGTTTCGAAACGGAAGGTCGTAGAGCTTAGCGGAAAAAACCAACGGATTGCTCTCAACGAGATCTCGCGATTGGTGGTATATTTTTTGGTCCTAGGTCAACATTTGACCTACTTTTGACCGGTCAAAGGTCAAATTTTCGGAAAAATAGACTTTTTTCAACTTTCGGCGGCGATTGCGGCAAAACGGTGGGAGATATCGACTTGAAACCTTCACTATCGTGTTCCTTGATCAATTCTCTATCGTTTGGTATGTATTTCGTTTCCCTAGCTCTAAAAATGGCGCGTTGGGAGCGCCGGAAGTCGGCAAGGTCACAGTCGGCGGCAGAAATTCGAAAAATCAAAATTTAAATTTTTGAAATCTGATTGTATTTTTGGATTTGGGAGGTCAATTTGCTCCCTATAGAAGCTAATATTGCTGCATATTCCCATTGAGGTGACAAGAATTAGCAAAATAGTGGTTCGGGCGCTTTTCAAAAATAGTACCGGACGCTGTTCCTCTTGTGACGTCATAGCTCCGTGACCTGACCTGACCCGGTCAAATTTCTTATACCATATGATAGCCAATACTTGCCCCAACATGCATGGGAAGTTTCATCACGATCCATCAACCGATGTCCGTACCACCGGCAGGAAACCTCGGGCGTTGGCACTCAGTTTGTGAAAATCCGGCCGGAGGCTGTACCTCTTATGACGTCATAACTCCGTGACCTGACATGACCCGATCAATTTTTTTTTTTGGCAAAAGATGCGCAAAGGTTGCCCCAGAGGGTATTGAAAATTTCAGCCCGCTACGACAAGCCGTTTAGCGTGCACTTCGAAAAAACCTCAGGGGGGGGGGGTTGATACAACCCCCCCCCCTAGGCGTTCTAGGGTTAAGGTTTAAGTTAATTTGTTTTTCCTGTTGGCATAGTGTTAGTTCTTATAACGATTATCTTATATTGGAATAGGCCTGTATAGTGCATATTCCTGCCCCTGTGATCCTGTGTGACTGGCTGGCGCGTAGCGGTGACTCCACTCAATAAGTGGTGCTCTGGCCGCCTCTGACCGATCCACATCCAGCGCGCGAGGCTGCGAGCGCTGCTGAGCCAGCCTGTTTGATCAATCAGTGGTCTTCCGACGCAAACAAGATAATTTAACGCCCGCTCAGCTCACCAAAAGTTCCGCCGAAACTAGTTTCCAGCCGATGAAAGTTTTGCAGATTTCCGTTGGTTACACGGTGTGCTGAAGTATCCGTAAATTGGTTGCAGTTTGTTTCATTAGGGTCTATCTGCATTTTACAGACCTCTGAATCGGTTCGAGCAACGTGAGCACCGAACAAGCTTTGTCCTCTCAGCGACATGTTTGGTCTTACATAGGCGAGCTACTTTCTGTACTTCGCTTCTTTTCAATTGTTTCAACTATTTTCAAGCTGTTTTAGTCTTTTTAGTTTTTATATACGCTATAATTTCCTTCCTTTCCGTTGGCTTTTGCTGGTCACCTGGGCCGCTCCCGGATCTGTTGACATTGGATCCACGTCTCGTGCCGGCGCTGGACCGCGCCCGTCTCGGCCCGATGACACACCGGTCACGTGCCGGCCGCCGGCGGTGTCACGTGTCCTGCCGCCTGTCTGCCGGGGGCTGGGACTGGCCTCCGGCTGATTCAGCCGACCGCAGGGTCAGCCGCCCACCGACTGGGCACGGGAGGGGACCGGCCGCCGGCACTGACCTCCGTGGGAGCTCTGCACCTCCGACGATAGTTGCCGTACGCCCCTGACCTTCGCACGGCAGGCCGCCGCCGTTCATTGACCACACGCCGGCTGGCCTCTGCCGCGGTGTGGCCGAGTCTGATCACAGCTGGCCGGCGGTCTCGGTCGCCACTTGTTACGTGTTTTCGGCGCTCAGCTGCGCGGATGTCCCGTAACGGCCTGACGTCGGGTGATGTCGGACTGAGACCGAGCCTCCGTCAGCGACCCCAATCAATCGTCTCGCTCAATTGCAGCCTGGTGGGGCTTCAGCTATCAGTAAAGTATTTTTGTGCTGCGTTATAAGTTATAACTCATCTGGTGAAGTATAACGCACCGGATAACGATGGGGCCCACGGATTTTAGTGGTTAAGGTGTAGACGTCTTTGTGACTCAATCAAATTGTCATCCAAATAAAGACTGAATGAGTCACGTCTGGTATTTGCTCTACTTCTATCGGACATTTTCACTGATTGCTTGCACCGACTGAGGTTTCTCAGTGACGTCACACCACACACTCAGCTGGTCGCCGGCCTGCGCATCAATCGCCTGAGTGTTTCTCGGACACCGGACTGCCCTCTGACTGCAGGATGTCCCGGGGGGATTGACCCCAGTTCTGGCACGTCGCCGGCTGCCGCGCCACAGAGACCCGTTGCCAGTTGCCACCTCGGGCTGCCGACAGAGAGTTGCAACAGCTGCGGGGAGGGGAGGCGCAGTAGCCGGGAAACGAGGGAGGCGGGAGCGGGGAGGAGGGTTGGTCCAATAGGCGGTCCCTTTCCTGTGGAATGTTGATGCCGTGATATGTCATGGAAGGCTGAATATCCCAGAGGCCGCTGCTATCCCCGCCTGACATAGTACCAGACGTTGCCGGATCTATTGTCAACAGTGGCGGATACGATCGACTGAGCATTGAGCAATTGAACACGTTGGATGGCAGCGTGGGTGTCTTAGCCGCGGCTGACGTGGGCTGACGGCCAGAGGGTGATGCGATATTCACATCAAGCTCTTTGGCCAAGAGTGCCGTCAAGTCTTCCTCTACCAGCCCAGCGTGCCTCCAAGCCCAGTGGCGGCCCGTTCCGCCCCGCCCGACGTCTGTGGTGACCCACAAACCACGGCGGCGCGGCCGGGCGACCTTTGGCCCGGCCGGCTGCAGCGCGCCTGGCATCCAGCCGGAGAAAACCCGACCCGACCCGGGCCGCTCCGTTCCCGCATCGCTCGACTCGGGGGCGACCGGAGGCCGCTCTGGGACGGCCCAGACTGACAGCCGGCGCCGGCAGCGGCGGAGCTACCGCTGTTGTGTTGGCTTCTCGAATGGAGTTGTATGTCCTTTGAGCTACCGAGCGGAGCTGTGAGCGTGAGGAGAGCGCTCGTTGAGCTTCCCGATCGAAAAGATAAAGTTCACAGAACTTTTGAGCTTATCTTGTTGAGCTTTTCGAGCGGATCTTCCACTAAAAAAGCTCAGTGACCTGAGCTGCCACAATCTGGAGCTCCCCGGACCACAAACACATCCCGGGCCGAGTCAGACTGTTTGCTCATCAGCCGGCACCGGCGAGTCACCTGTGTACCGTGTCTGACGCACCGGCCGGCCTCGTGACCCGTGACTCGTGGCCGTGTCCCGCGACCTGTGGTCATGGTCCCGTGTCCCGTGATCCGTGACCATGGTCCCGTGTCCCGTGATCCATGACCCGTGGCCGTGCATTGTGACCCGTGGCCGTGACCTGTGGCCCGTGTCCGTGGTCCCGACACCACGGTGTCGTCTGACACGAGGTCGCGACTCTCTGAAGTCTGACGCCGTGCAGTGCCTCGGGATGGGTTCTCGGAGGAGGCGGTCTCTTGTTGTGGTCTGGGGAGCGCCTTGTATGCGGCGGCCGAATGTCGCCAGACGCCGGTCTGTTTACACAATGTCGAAAGAATCCGTCAGCACACCACACAGCCCGAGTTGCATTGCCGCATACGAAATGGACTATGCGACGTTGGGTTTCTTGAATCATACGTTATAGCGATAACCATGCCGGGAGATAAATATTATGACGGTTGGGTTCAATCGCGGTAGCGTACGTGTAATTTGAGTGGCCTAGAGGAAACTGCTCGCCATTTTCCATGAATAAAAAGAGCAGTTGAAATTCCAATGGAACCTACGCACTACACAGCAAGGCCCTACACAGCCCCAAATCCCAATGAAACCCCAATGAAACCTATCCCATGGTCAGTCGAATCGATCGTTCGTGGACAGTGCTGTATGATAATTGGATTTATTTATAAATTGATTTCAGCTTCACTCGAGATGCCTGAAACATGTGCATAATGTCTAGAAAAAGTTTGTTTCCATAACTCAGCTAGCACCGCTATCATTTCGGTAATGTTCGGCCCTTGCCCTGGCATGTGGGTGCGATGACCGTGACCGGGCGGATCACAGCCGTTTAACCTTGTGGGGGATTACGGACGGGCCGGTGCGGGCCCGGTCCGACCAGTCAGCTCGACACGGGGTCTCCCGCTGCCGCGCAGATTGCAGGTCGGCAGATACGGGCCGGTATCGCACCCGCCCGCCGCGCCGGTCGACCTCGGCGCCGCGAGTCAGGTGTCGCGTGTCCACCTGCGTTCGGCGCGCCCGCTGTAAACAGAGGCGCGCGGCGGTGTCAGTCAGTCGTGCCCCAGCAGCGGAGGACGGAGCCGCCTCGTGCCGACCGGCCGGGACCACCGCGTGACGCTCACACCCAGGCAGAGCGCGGAGAGGGCACCGGCCGGCACCGAGCCGCGCCGGCTGGCTGCGGCCGCGGTGGTGTTGTGGTGTGCTCAGCTCTGGTGCTGTGGTGTCGGCTGTCGGTGCGGCCTACTCGGATGCCCCGGCCAAACGTGTCGTGTGCTGACTGACAGTGGTGTGACTCGGCCGGCGGAGCAGTGAGCACTGAGCAGTGGGCAGTGAGCAGTGAGCTCTGAGCAGTGAGCACTGAGCAATAAGCACTGAACAGTGAGCAGTGGGCACCACCAGGCCCGAGATGTGACCCGGACGCGGCGTGACGCTGTCGAGCGCACAGTGTGACCCGGGCGCGCCAGTGACGCTCGTCGTGATGTGTGGGTGATCCACCACACCAGCACGCTCCGACAATACCGTGCAGTGTCACCGTGAACCTGTGACCTTGCCACCACCCGGCGGCGACCCTCGCTGTGACTGCGGCCCGCCATGGCGGAGGGGCCGGCTGACGACACCGTGCTCCACCTCGAACGTTGGTCAATCTAACTGCTGATTGATTTTCGTGAATCCGCTGCTCGTAGAGAGACATTCTCCTACCCGCAGATATGCTACTACCCGCAGCGGGCTCGTCGAATGTCCGTCTACCAGCAGCGGATTCACGAATCTACTGCCATGTGTGGCAACACTTGCTGGACCCGAATCTGCTGACAGCACTGTCAAGCCGACAACAAAAAAGTGTATCGGCACCAAGGTGCTTGCTAAAATATTGTAAAAGCAGGACCACTGATCGTATAGGCAAGAGGTGGCATTGTGCAATCTTTCTTAAAGTGACTTGTTTGCGCTGGTCAGATATTCGCTGAATTCACTGCGAGCAGCCGCAGATTCAGGCCCAGTGAGTGTCCCCTCTCTCAGCGGCAGATTTGTGAATGCCTGCCTATTTATAGTGTAGCGGTTTCGCGAATGTCAATCCGCCGCTAGTTTGACGAACGTCTCGCCGTTTCAGTGAACAGCGAGGCGAACACGCGGCGTATCGCCATTGTGGAGCAGTGTTTCGGCAGCTCCGGCCAGCCGCTGGCCGTCCAGGGCCGCGTGCTGGTCGGCGAGGGCGTGCTCACCAAAATGTGCCGCAAAAAGCCCAAGCCGCGCCAGTTCTTCCTCTGCAACGACATCCTCATCTACGGCAACATCGTCATCAGCAAGAAAAAGGTGAGCACGCTGCTCCGGGAGGTTTCTGTGTTTGTTTCATAGGGTGTGCTTTGTGCGTCCTCTTTGGTCATTGAATTGTATATGACTGCATAAATGGCCGTGTCCTTGATCGCTATCATTGGCTGTTATCACTCCTCTCAAACAATGGCATTGAAAACTTACAACTTTGACCAGCGTCGTAATGTTTACTTTGGAAGGTATCATCTGTATGGTTTCGGGGTCGGTGAGGTCGACTGTTTACCGGAACATGCCTCTGCCACCTCCCCCGTCCCGCCCACATCCCGTCACTCCGTGCCGACGTTGTACCCTCCCGTCACGTGTGACGGTATGACGTTGTGAGTTGTGACGGGCCGCGGTCGCGTGCTGGCCATGTCCCGCCCTTTCCGCGCTCACCTTCAGCGCCTGTCCCCGCCTTTCTCGTCTGCCCTCGCCTCTCTCGCCTGTCCCCGCCTTCCCCCGCTGCACCCGCCTGTCCCTGTCTGATCCGGACCCCTCCCACCCATCTATCTCAGCCTGGCCCTACCGATCCCCGCCTGTTCGGTAGCAAGCAAGAAACTGTAAACCGCTCCAGTCAATGACTCCGGATGGATCGCAGCAGCCGTGGAACACTGCTTGGCTTTTCTCTTATTTGTGATTTATCTGCAGCTGTCGATTAGCTGGGGTTTCTGTAGCACAGAAGTCCATCTGAAGGAATGTCCCTGTGCGTTTCCCGTGGTTTCCAGTGCCCCTCTGTTCCGTTTGTCGTGGAGTGGCTTGAGTCTGTCGTGAGCTCAGTGTTCACTGTGCTTTGTGTAGCGGCTACTAGCGGTTCTGTCTGTCGTGGAGTGACTTAACTAGCCATAAGTCGGTGCTCTGCCGGGGCGTGTTCGGTGGACTGGTTAGGGCGGGAGCTACGGGGGCGTACCATTCCGGCCGCCACGCGATCCGCCCGAGCGAAACTGAAGCCGCCGCCGTAACTATTTGGGAGGGGAGGGGAGGGGCCAGTGCTGCGGCAGCTCTGCTCTGAGCCTCTGATGGGACAGGGTACTGTACTGACCACTGTAAAAGCTGGAATACAACTCTTACGCATGAAAATCGCTTATCGCTCTTCCCATTCGAACACAAATTGCATATTTTTCGCTCCCAGCTCGAAATTCACGGAGGTGCCGTTTTGACTGATCCGGTTGACATGGAATGTCCCAGCTCCGACGCGTGCAAATCGCGTTTGTTGCCAGCTCGCAGCTCGAAGGGCTACGAGTTGGGAGACGCAATGTGCACGCGTGGGAGAGCTGTGCTCCAGCCTTTAAACTTGTGGTGGTCAGGTCTGTGATGGACGGATGCTGGCAGGACGTCTGAACTCTGACGTTCAAGTGGTAACGGTCAGCTGTGGCAGTGTCAACTGTCGAGATAATACAAGCTCAGCATTCTTTTGATGCGATTCATATCGGTCTATCCTGTTGCTTTAGGACCTTGATATCTATGTGAATGAATAGGTATGAATCATACCTTAACACCCATGTCTGATTCATCTAGACTGCATTTTTCCGTCTCAGTGGTCGGACAATATCTGCAGGCACTTCACCCAGTTCACGGAAGCTGCTGTAGATTTATCACCGCTCATGATCGATTCATCGCCTCTGTGGAAGTCCCTGTGGCGATGATGCACGCTGCAGGCGGACGTCGGCTGCGCGCGACCCGGGCACGTGCGCTATGGTCGGTGCTCATTGTTCAGCCGATCTCGCCATTCCATGGCTGGTGGGTCGTCTCGTTCAGTTAACTCCATCCGTGGCTGATGATCCATGAACTTCTCGTTCTCCATACGCGTATGTTTCTTAATTTCTTACTTTCCCATTCTTGGCAAGCTGGATGAACGTATTTTCAGACTGCATGCACATTGCACAACAGATACGGAGTTAAGCTAAGCTGCGCCATGGTTAGGTACTGGTTAGCATCCCCATTTATTCGCATGCGAGATATATTAGCGCTTGTCCAGGAGCTATCGTGTCCTCTATCATCCCAAAACATCATCTTACTAAAAGGCCTCTGGGTTCTGCCAAAGGAAGATGAGTCGGACTGACGAGGCCGAGACCAGCCCGTGCTAAGATTACATTGTAAACACATTGTGGCAAAAAGAATATTGTCATCCTAAATAATTTTGAATCAAACTATCGGACGCTTGGTTACAATGTCTAAAAATATGATCAACTTGTATCATCCGTGGAATGCTGTATGAATTCAGGTGCTCGGCGCTTGTTATCATTTTCCGCAGTAAGGCACTATGCACTATGTACCTAACTGTATGCTACAGTTCAACATGCTGAAGCACCACTTAAATACCAGACTAGAGTGTGCTACTGCTAGTTAGTTGTTCCGCATTGTGTTTGCTATTTATCGTGAGATGACTCAAAGCTTCCCGTTGCGCCGTCGTGTGTGCACAGCCGCTTATGTAAACCGGTGACTCGGAGACTGAAGGCATATTTCCACAGACGGTAAACGAACGTGGCCTTGCTACCACACTGCGCCATGTGCACGGAGAGATAACCCGTATAGGGTGTGCAGAGGGGCCGGCTGTTGAGCCTAACCAGACTGGCCTGACTGTCTGTGAGTTCCGCCCAGTGCCCAGACTGCCGCTAGGGATTGTCAACCAGTACTGCCGTTATGGGCAAGGCCGTTGTGTGGATCCGCTGTATTCGGCCGTTGAGTTGACTACCTACCCAGGCCAGTATTGGTGCGCAGCGACTCCGCTGGTGGATCAGACAGGGGTTGTTAGTCCCCCTGGCACGGCGGTGCGGTGGACCGAAACTCGTCACGCACGCCGATCGAAGGCCGATATGCCTGCCCTGACACCACCCGCAGGAGGCTGGCAGGCGTGCGTCAACTCTGAGTCATTGATGGGCGGTCTATGATAATGCGTCAGCTGAAACAATGCACGACTTTTTCTGTAGCCGGCGCGGCGCGGTGAAGGAGCGTCATCCCATTGTACCGCGCTCAGTAGTATATCGCTGGAGTAGCTCATCTCTTGTTAATGGGACTCTTCACGGGAGATCAAACACACGGGTACAAAGCTTGCACGGTTTTAGTGCATGATGGATATCTCATAAAACGGGCGCTGGCTGCCGCTGAGGAGCTGCATCACATGATAGGTTCAAAGGCGCTTGTCAACGGTGATTGACCTCTGAGCTTGATATCTCAAGTGTTGTGCCATTAATTTGAAGACTGTTGATGTAGACCAGCCTCACACGTGACATTTCGTCTTGCATCTCACGCAACTTGGAGCTCGAAAGGGGTCTCAACACTATCTGTCTTATCTGTCTGTTCCCTTTAGGCGGTCGGTTGTCGTTTGGCGTATGGTCGTCCGGAGACTGGTATGCGCAACCGGGACACCGCGCGGGAACAATGTCCACAGCTGTACTACCCAGACCGCCCGATAGCCCGGTTTGATGGTCATCTGCCGGCTCCGTCATCCTATGAGCCTGTAATCTCACTGTGAGCCCACCCGAGACTCTGACCCTAGTGCGCCTGTCCGTGCCTCCCCGGCATCGGCTGTTGATCGGCCCCATCGGCGCCACCTGTGTTCTGGTGGCACGGGGCGGTGGCGACGCTAGCCGCCCGCACAGGTGTCCCGCCGGTCCCCGCCCCCGCCCCCCGCCCGTCCGCCGCCCGGCCCGTCACGGGCGGGGAGCCGCAGTTCCGCCGGCATGACTGGCAGTACTGCAGAGCGACAGGGGTTTGTTGTGATGGCGTGCTGATAACAGCTGTGTACTGTCCCTAATTGCCGCTACATTGGTTGGGACTGTGTCGTAAACAAATTGCCAAGGCCGATGTTGGGTTTGGATTAGGGGTGTTATCATTGAAGGAAACTCGTAGGGGCTCTTTGATTTAGTCAGGTGCTAACAAGGCTCTACTCGTGAGCGTGGCTGATATTCTAAAATGAAGTGAACGGTATTCGGAGGGCTACTGAAAACTTCTCACTGATAGTATCCCGCCGTATGGCCAGAGGAAGGCTGCGGCTTGCTCGGGGTACATTTTGTCTTGTGTTGCTAACGCCACACTACCCACTTGTGTCAAATAAACTTTCTCGCATGGATGCTGGGCATGTCTCATTGGCCAGTCCGTGTGGACGGCAGTAGATGTAGCGTCTCATTGTGAATATCGCCTCGGCAATTCACTGTTCATAGCGTGACTTCCTTATCGGGCTGGTTTGTTGGCAGACCTGCACTGCCGTTTGCGGACTGCTGCCGCGATTAGGCAGCGTTTGCCCACCCTCGTGCGTTGTGTCACCGCTGACACGTGTTTGCGGCCCTTTGGCACCGTGGTGTCGCTGTGACCTGTGACGGCACTGTGACCCTGTGACGGGATTGTGACGGCCCTGTGACGCTGTGACGGGATAGTGACGCTGTCCGTTGTGGTGGCCGCCATGTTCGCGGCTCGATATGCAGCGCTGACACTGCGGACAGTCCATGCTGACATACCACCTGCCGAGCCACAGTGTGCATAGCTACGGTCTCTTTTTTATATGTTTCCATTTATACTCCGATGACTCCACAGTCCACACTTCATATGCATGCCTTTCACCCCGCGATTACACATCCATACTAACGGGTTTCGACTTATACTGATTACGAATTACGACTAATTACGACTACGTAACCCAGCAACTGAGCAGCTGAAGAACTAAGGGTTATTTTCTGGGAAGCATGGTGAGCGCCAGTTGGTTACATGGAACTCGAGCAAGCTAAGCACACTCATAAAACACGCGATTGGCACAAGCGGATCGTACATACGTGGTTATTAGCAAGCACGAAACATGCATCCGTTATTGAACTCGCAAACGGTTTGATGTCTGGCTCCGACCCCCTAATTCACCTCACCCTGCCATCTGCTGCCTCCCCCACTCTCTCAGTTTCTGTCTCCCTCCCTCCCAGCCCGTCATCCCGTGTCGTGTCTCGTTCAGCTGGTGGCCAGCGCTGACATTTGCACGGCCGCCTCGCCGCCGTTCCGTGGCGGGCCGCGCCTCTCGGACGGTCCGTGTCGCTGATCTCCCGGTAGAAGGCGTGCACGAGCACATACCAGTACCAGAGGAGCGGGCTGGCCAGCAGGCCCAGCGCTCTCAGCACGCCACACGCCACTGAGGCGGCGTAGGCCACCGACAGTTGCCAGCCATTGAGTATGGGCCCCGGCCCAGGGCCAGGGCGGTCGAAGGTACCGACTCTCTCGGCGGGCTCGACCTGCCGCAGCAGCTCCGAGTGGGTATTGGAGAGCACGCCGCAGCCGATCAGCAGACCCACCGAGGTCAGCGCCACCAGCACCAATACCATGGCGTAGTAGATGAGCCAGGCGAACGCGGCGCCGACCGAGCGGCGGCGCACGGCGAGCAACAGTAGCGAGTTGAACTCAGTGAGAGGAGCACGAACCGCGGCACGAACACCCAGATCCAGCGCACCGCCACGCCGGCCGGACGGAGGTCGCGCGCCGTCAGGTCGGAGGCCAATCTGGCGCAGCCGACGATTATCCCGGGCAAGTGGACGGCGCTGAAGGACATACAGACGATGGCCACGGCCCGAGCCGAGGAGCGCAGGTCCGGGCCGCAGCAGCCGCGCACAGCCATCGCGACAGACCGGCGCTAAGGGGCGCAGAGGGAGCTGGGGGCTGCGAGCCGCTGTAGACGGACTCCTGGAGACGCTGATGGACTCTGGGGGTGTTTTTGGACTCTTGCTGACACTGGTGAACGCCTGGTATATTCCGTTGCTCCTGCAAAGTCAGATAAGCTCTTGGAGATGATGTTGTGGAACGTTTTCGACTTCTGATGAAGGCACCTCTGACTGTCTTCCTGCGCTGACCCTTTAGCAGCGGGTGCCACTCTGCCGACCGAGCTTCTTCGTGAACTGACCCCGGGCGGTGCTCCTGGCCTTTTAACTGGTCGGACAGTGATAAGATCATGCGCCGGGCTCCGGATGACGGGCTCCGCAGTTGCACTATCTGCCCTTCCTTCCTTCCGATATGGTCGGGACCAGTTCCGGTGGGGTTTCGGTGCCCCGGGAAGTGGTGCCGGGGTTATCGCATTGGGCAGTGCCAGGGTTATCGCATGGCAAGTGGCATTGGGCTTGTTTCAGCGCCTCCAGTAGAAATTCTTTCTGTGGTCCCTGAGACAGAGTTACGTCAGAGGCCGGTCGGAGGTGTGCAGTGTTGCTGTTCATGAAGCGGACATAGTGATTCTATCTGTGCCGGGGCGATCGGGTGTTTGTTTTCAGAAGCAGATGGTCTATTGTTATTGTTACCTAATTGGATTATGCCGGCGCAGTGATTATAATTGCTACCGCATTGGACCCTCGTCAGCTTCCGTCCTCTACTTTGGTCATCAAATCAAACTTCCAGCTGATGAAATATTATTTACTCCCTGTTGTTCGCCTCTTTAATACAACTGCCAGCGGGTCATCTCATGGGTGTGCGTAATGCGTTACATATGGGTGTGCGTTTGAGTGTCACTGAGCTGTTGCGCCACACCCCTCTCTGTTCTGTCTGTTACAGTTAAACTGCCAGCGGATCCCCTCTCACTGTTGTGCTGTTCGTTCCAGTACAACTGCCAGCGGATTCCCTCTCACTGTTATGCTGCTCGTTCCAGTACAGCTGCCAGCGGATCCCCTCTCACTGTTATGCTGTTCGTTCTAGTACAACTGCCAGCGGATCCCCTCTCACTGATCTGTTCGATCCAGTACAACTGCCAGCGGACCCCGTCTCACTGTTCTGTGGTTCGTTCCAGTACAACTGCCAGCGGATCATCCCGCTGGAGGAGGTGAAACTGGAGTCGCTCGAGGACGACGCGCAGTACAAGAACGGCTGGCTGGTGCGCACGCGCACAAAGTCGTTCGCCGTGTACGCCGCCACCGCCGCCGAGAAGGCAGAGTGGATGGCGCACATCAACAAATGCGTCGACGACCTGCTCAAAAAGAGTGAGTGAGCACTCAGCGCTGTGTTTGAACTCAAATGTTGATATATTGTTTGAAAATCGGACACACTGTTAATTGTCATTATTAGCCGAATGGCCTTGGCTTTGTCACTAAGCTTTGTGTTCCGCCCTCAGCTCCGGTTTGTATTGTGGCTGAGGGGAATCTAGCGCTGACCTGGTCCATGGCATTGTTGTCTCGGTCGGATGATAGTCTCTGCTGACGGTAGAAAGACTCGGATTGTGCGGCGCTGAACCGTGACGGCGGTCTGGCTGCCGAGCTGCTCCGGCAATCAGGCAGCTCACCACACACAAAAACACATCACGGGAGGCCGGTCAACCGAATCAACCAGACGGCAGTCTGGCTGTCTGCGTCATAAATCAGTGCGGGAGGAACAATTGTCCCTGGGGTAGTTCTCGAAAATGAACGTGACATTGATATGCATGGTGAAGAAAACATGAACATGGATAACTTTAACTTTCTGGTTGCTCATGTTTTTTTATTACGTTGGTCATACGCTAGTTAGTTGGAGTTTAGGTAGGTTGCCGCTGAAGCTCATATATTTTCATGCAAGGCATGCTGCGAAGTGTATCGATTTCAGCCCTATACAGAGAGCCTTGTGCTGTCTGGATGTCTGCGTCATGACCTTTGTGTTATGAGTATAGGGCGCAGAGCGAGTTAGTATGCATCTGACCTGACCTGACGTGTCTCCGGGCAGGCGGTAAGCTGGGCGCCACTGACCACGCGGCCGTCTGGGTGCCCGACACCGAGGCCGGCAGCTGCATGCACTGCAAAAAGAGTCAGTTCACAATCATCAACCGGCGCCACCACTGCAGGTCAGTTATACAGGGGGGCGGCTCACCGGCCACTGGTACGGGGACCCGCAGTTGCTACTGTACAGCGACCCTGAGTAAATTGTCCCAGCACCCTCACAGGGAACAACGATAAGCTGCCAGAGGGCACGCACAGAAAACCTCAGCTGCTCTTGTACAGGGACCGGCAGTCGATATCAATGTTATCGGTTGTTACTGGACAGGACAGACGGCTAGAGTTGGGGTTCGTGTACAGAAGCAACTGCGGGTCCCCGTACCCAGCTAACCTACCAGACCTAACCTAATTAGACCTAACCTACCCCAACCACAATCATCAACCGGCGCCACCACTGCAGGTCAGTTATACAGGGGGCGGCTTACCGGCCACTGGTACCCAGCTAACCTACCTGCCCTAACCTAACCACACCCAACCTACCCCAATCACAACCGTCAACCGGCGCCACCACTGCAGGTCAGTTATACAGGGGGTGACTCACCGGTCACCGTTCAGGGCTCACGACTCAGCAGTCAGCGCTGATCGCTGATATGGTGCGGAACAGTGATTTAGTATTCCTCTATTAAATATAAGTTCTTCACATTGGTAATAGTGGGAATTTCGGCTGAAGGTGTATAGGTCTATCTATAAAGTAGCGGTACACGGGAAAGGAAGAACCGGTGAACCCAAGTCTAAAATCGGTTCGACCCTCTGTCACCCTTCCTCCCCGCATCCTCATCCATCTCCCAAGTCAGGTGGCTCGGTGACTCTCGAACTTAGCTGCCCTCCGTCGGTCGGGCGGGGTGGCTCCGCTGCACCGTGGAGCGCTACTTTCAAGAGAGACTGTACGACGCTGTCCGGCCATTGCAGTAATGCCGCCAGTGTGTGATCCCTGTAGGAGGTGCTGCGAGTGGTGCCTCAGTCTCAGTCTGTTTGTCGCCCCTCTCCATATTTTATGGTGTATGCCTCTGGCCTGATCCGCCCTCTCTCCCCACAGAAAGTGCGGTAAGGTGGTGTGCGGTCCCTGTTCCAACAAGAAGTGGATTCTGCCCAGCCAGTCGTCCAAGCCTCTACGTGTCTGCCTGACCTGCTACGACGAGCTGAGCCGAGCCAAGGCCGACGACAACCGGCTGGCCGGCGACACACGAGGTCAGTACGGCTGTACAATGGTACATGAGGTCAGAGCGGTGACACTAGGTTAGTAAGGAGAGGCACGAGGTCAGGACGGCGGTACTGGGGGGTCGGAGCGGCTGACGAGGTCAGTGCGACACCCGCTTGATGCACATCTCACCCGCCTGATGTATTTTGACGTTTTATGACTTGCGAGTTTGGGAGGGGTAAAACTCATATTTTTGCGTATTGTTCTTATCGAAGCCACTGTCCGTCTGTCGTTGGCTGCACACCTCAGTCTGATGTCCACCCCTGTTTGTTGTGCTCTGTCCCGGTGTCTCGACTGACCGGTCGCTGGCCGTCCGTCTTCCGTCCTCCGTGACCCTTCTGACTGCCCGGGGTCGGCCGTAGACGGCTGTGAGCGGCCGCAGCCGCACCTGGCCCCGCGGCCCGTGCCGCCGCCGGTCTCCGAGCACCGGCGCAGACCCACGCCGCTGGCCCAGGTCTCGCTGTGGTGGGACAGCTTCGGTGAGATGACGCGCACCGCACAGTCCCGCCGCCCGCTAACGCTGCTGCCGGCGGGACTGTGGTGTGGGGTGTTTGAAGTTGAACGGCGTGGCGGACTGGACTGGTGTGGACTGGACTGGACTATTGCGTGGATGGGTTATGTTTTGGAGATTCCGAATCGGCATGCTGTCCGGATTTCATTGAGTTTGTGATGCGGTTAAATGCTGGTGGTTGTGTTGGTTCACTCCACTCCCACAGGGTATGGCCAGCAGCGGAGAACATGGCCGATCTGCGGTGTGGTGTGGGAGATGATGAATGACCTGTTAGGGGCCTGAGTGGGGTTTGATCGAGTGGAAGTTGTTGAGGTTTGCGTGAGTCAGGATCAGGAAGGGTTCGGAGTTCCTTTGAGTGCAAGGTTTTGAGGTTTGCGTGAGTGGAAGGGTTTAGAGTTTGTCTGAGTGAAAGGGTTCTGGGGTCCTGGGTTTGTAGCCGCCGGCTGTGCCAAAGGGTCAGGTGTGAAGTGGTGAAGAGGAATGGAAGGAACCGGCGGAGAGCTGAGGATGGACCCAGTACTAGCATCATGAGGTTAGCGTCAGTCGCCTCTCAGCGCGGTGTGTGGGGTGATGGCGTCGGAGCCGCCCATTACACTGTGGTCACCGTGTAGTGCTGCGGTACAGAGTAATTGGTTGTGGTGATATGTTAGGACCTTGCAATCGTCTTTATGCTCGAATTGTATGAGCTGATCGTATTCAGCATTAGTCGTAAGTACTGCAAGGCGTCACGGCTCCGGGTCGGCAGCTCGGACCATGCGGCGCAGTATGTTTCAGGCGCTGACGCCAGAGCCATCTGTGGTCTGTTGTGTTAACTTTTCAGTGTTACGGGACAGCGAAATTCGGACTGATACCTCAGAGCCGTCTATGGGCTGGAATGGCAATCTGGGCAGACTGCGCAGCGCGCAATGCTCTATGTGTTTCAGGTGCCGAACATTGTAACCAGAGTTATCCGATCCCATGTTCAGCGAGTGGAACTGCATGTTTGCTGCTGTGATTGCGTCAGGGGAGTGACGGGGGCTGAAGACATACAGAGCCCTAGCTTCCTCGCTGTATTGTTGGTTGACTGAGTTTTCTTCTCTTCGACCGCAGTAGCAAATGTCCCTATGAGGCTCGTGGTCTTATTGGTGACTGTTTCACTGCCATTACCGTCTGTGTGTAACCCTGTAGGCTCAACCGCCCCCTTCCCCCAGTCATTCCTCTTCCTGTCGCATATCCACGCTCCGATCCACCAGAATTCTGTGTGAACTCGTCTTATGACCCTCTAACTCTTCCTCCCTCATAGGCGGCGGAACGGGGGGGGGGGGCGTGCCTCCCTTTGATTTTGGGATTTTAACATTAGCCCTATGGGCGTTGCATGGAAAGAATGGGACCAAAAGTCGGCAGTGCCTCCCTTCATTGAAGGTGTTCCGCCGCCACTGCTCTCCCTTACGGCAGACATCCGCGCCCCGACGCACCAGAACTCCGTGGACTGAGGTATGACCCTCTAACACCCCTTCCTTGCGGCAGACATCCGCGCCCCGACGCACCAGAACTCTGTGGACTCGTCATCGGAGGACTCGGAGGACGAGTTCTCGAACGGCAACAATCCTCCGGCGGTCGGCGGCGGCCCTCCCGACGAGCCTAACGTGGTTAGTGTCGAGACACGTCGCTGTGGGGGCGAGTTATCGGCGTTTGTCAGCAGGAGTCTTTGGCTTGTAAAGTCACTGGCTGTTGGGGAATGTTCATTTCTCAGTCACTAAGAGATTAATTTTGTCAATATGTAATGCGTAGCATTATGCTGGGGATGGATGCTAGAAGTCGCACGCGATTTAAATGTAATGGCCTCCCCACTGATTTGGTTTGAAACTCGGACCCACGTCAAGAGTAATTAGCTAAGCACGCTCCTCTGTCCGTCCTTACAGACCCAGTTCTACCGCAAATCCACCACGGATGGCGGGGACGGACCGCCCTCGGAGCTGCCGCCGGCCACGGAGGCCACCAACTGACCGAGCGCCGCGGCACGCGCGCACTCGTGCCTTCTCGAGACCGGTGGCGTCTGACCGCAGGAGTCGGATGTCACCGCTGGAGTCTGAAGTCGCCGCTGGAGTCTGACGTCTGACCGCAGGAGTCTGACGTCGCCCCTGGAGTCTGACTCGCCGCTGGGACATCATTACATGAGGGACTCTCGGTGGCGCCGGGAGTGATGTGGTCCTCTGAGCCGAATGTACCGTGTCGCCGTCCCGCGCACCGGCGGGGGTCGTTACTTCGTTAACCTGCCGGCGCGGGATGCTGTAATCGTTGAACTGAGATGTGTCGGTTCCGGCGCTCGCTGGCGCCGCGCCGTGGGGCTTCTTCCATGCATGGCGTCCGTGTTACTTGCCAGGCGCCGGGCGGGCGCCTCTGGGGCCGCCGCCGGCTCGCAGCCGGACGGCCGTATATTAGCGTGTAGTAGTCAGAGAGAGGCCGGCGGTATTTACAGTCGGGCGGGCCGACCGCGCAGCACCGGGCGGCAGGCGCCGCCACCAAGTACGAAATACACTTCACCCTATTTTACAGTACGTCTTTGGGACGTTTCTGGCGAAAGGATGTGTGAAGATAAGGATTGGCTAGAGCTTTCTGGTGAAATAAGTATACCGAGACGCATCAAGAACATGAAGCTTTGCGCTTCACGAGACATTCCAGCGACCTGAGTGATATATCTTTCGAAGTGTTGACGATCAAAGGGGTAAGGCTTCTACGGGGCTAATGTGTGTTTGTAAGAGCTGCTGACCAAGTCTCCTAGCTCCCCGGGACTTGCCGAACGATGTGAATGAACTGAAACAATATAAAACTTCCGAACTTCCTTCTATTGCACGGTAGTCCATAGGAAGCCCAAATGTCCGATCACTATTAAAGGGACCCTCCCACCTTCAAAAAAAGTTAATGAATTGGCATGAAAGTGATGTCGCTCGGTTCAGAAAGAGCAAAAACGAATATCTACCAAATTTCATCGAAAAATATTCACCGGTTTTCAAGATATTAGACTTTTACTTTTGTTTACTTTTTGGGATCTCCGCTGTTCCTAGCGACTTTATTTGAAAGTGCGGCATTTGTTGCGCACAAAGCAGCATATACCACCGCATGCTACAAAACGTTTTAGTCAAACATTTAACGGACGTTCGAAAGCCTGATGACGTCATCAGATTCCCGTAATGGTTAAGAGATAGGGACCACGCTGGTCCCACCCTGCAAGTAAAGGGAAGAAATTTCTTGAACACCATAAAGCTGCGGGGGTTGCGATCAGGATAAATGGTGGTTTCTGAGCCTGGCCGCAAACTTGGCTATCTCAACTCAAAACTAATGTTAAGGTGGGAGGGTCCCTTTAAACACATCGTTCATTAACAGTCGCTAAAAAGTCGCTGAAACGCGTCTAAACAATCAAGGAGATCACAATGTACCTAAAGCTCTGACCTGAGTCGCTGAGGGCCGCATCCCCTCAATCACACACATTCACCAATCGTCAAACCATGACGGCGCCGGTGGCACCTTGGGCGCCGCGACACTAGAGCTGCCGTCTGGCGGCCGCTGGCGGTACTTCATCCGTAGCAGCGCCGCAGGGGCCTTCAGCCGGTGGCGCTGCAGTAAGCTCGAGTACCGATTGATGACGGTAGATGGCAGTGATATGGATAGTTCGCCTACCAGCCTGAAGGTCTCACGGGCCGACTGGACGTCCTCCATTAGACCTGAGCAAGACAACTCAACGTTAGACAATCCCTTCAGTTTTCCCACATCTGGTAAACTGTCGCCCAAATGATACAATCATTACCAGACTGAGTCAAACACACTAAACCAACAGCCCACCGATCCATCTGCCTGCCCCACCAGGCCACCACTCACACTGAAAGTCGAGCAGCGCCCCGAACACCAGCGGGTAGAAGCGCGTCTCGCCCAGGCGCAGCATCAGCTCGAGCAGGCCGCGCAGCACGTCCTCTCGGCCGGTGAGCTGCGCTTCCTGCAGGGCGTGCAGCAGGTAGGGCGCCAGGTGACGGCGGGCCGCCGGCTGGGCCAGCAGCAGCCGCCGGCCCGCCTCCTGGAAACTGTGCTGGTCGCTGAGCGTGCAGTGCTGCCAGGCGGAGAGCAGCGGACCCGAGAGGCCGCGGGACATCAGCGCCACTGACGTACTCTGAGGGATAGAAGGTGCAGGTCAGAGGGACTCTGAGCCCTGAGGGAGCAGGGATGCAAGTGAGTGTCAGAGATACTCGATAGGGCACAACAGCGCCATTGACGCACTCTGAAGGACAGGATGCAGGTCAGAGAGAATCTTACTAGACAAAAAGGGTCACAAAGACTCTCTTAGGATGCACAAGTGACACTTGGTACTCTGACGGACAGGGAGCCATTGAATGACAGTAGCTGAGCTAATGAGCCCTCTGCTGGATGTCAGTGGTAGGATTAAGGATAAAGCAGCTGATGCGGTGACCAGTTTACGCCCATCCTGCTGACCTGGATGTAAGGCAGGGCGTCCTCGGCTCCCTCGTGGGCGGCCAGGCAGCAGCAGACGGCGAACCGGCGCGCCATCTGTTGGCGGCGCACCGGCTCCGAGCGGTAGCGCAGCAGCAGGCCGCAGGCGGGCGCGAACAGCCGCCGGCGCCAGAGCAGCTCCAGCTGCGGGCCGCGCAGCCGCGCCGCACGGCCGTAGTTGAGCGGGTACAGCCGGGCGGCCAGCCGGCGGGCGCGCTCGAACGCGGCCGGGTCGGCGCGCCGCGCCGCCTCCTCGGCCAGCAGCGCCAGCGTCGGGAACGGCGGCGGCGTGCCGGCGGCCGTCAGCGCGGCGGCGGCTCGCAGCGCGGCCGCCAGCCGCCCCTCGCCGGCCAGTCGGCGCAGCTCGGCGGCCGCGGCGGCGTCCGCCACGCGCTGCCGCTCGGGCACGGCCGGCGGCGGCCGCGGCGCCGACAGCAGCGTGGAGCGCTCACACTCGGTGGCCAGGTCCGGGTCCCAGGCGATCGGCGGCCGGCCGCCCGCCGCCACCTCCCAGCAGGCGCCGTCACTGCCGCTGTCTGACACACTGGCGTCAGAACTAACCGGGTTCTCAGAGGAGCAGATGGGCGCGTTGGGACTGGGGCCATAAGGCAGTGGAGGATGGTCAGAGTGAGATACTAACTTCTGTTGTAACCTCTCCTGACTGGTGCGACTCCTGACAGATGTCTCACACTTGGTGGTCCTCCTATGCACACAGTGTCCTTTCTCCTTGTGTGGAACTTGTCCTGGCACATCCCAAGAGTCTGTGACATTGACAGATACAGGAGTTTCATCGGTTTGTGCACAGTCATTGACAAAACCTGGATTCCTTTCTTCATAATGGTTTTTCTGCAGAGTTAGCTTGTGTTTTGATGATACTCTGTGGATATAGCATGTTCCTCTTGATTTCAGGAATAGGCTTTGCACCAAATCCTGACAAACTCCATTCCATAAAGCTGCTTTTGCCATAGAGTTCATCTGAAAGAACCAGATGCATTTAAAGGAAATAGTTCACTTTTAGCATGGGGTTTTGAGCTGGAATAGCAGTTTCGTAGCTTGAGCTGAGACTAGCACAAATCAGGAGCTTTTACGGCTCAACGATCACCCTAGACGAAGATATTCCATTTCTCGTTCCGAAAAGAGTGCCTTGTAGAGGAATGCGTGCCTTGCACAGGAATGCAGCCACGTCATCGTCAGCCAATCAGCGTGCTGCTTACAGCCAATGCAGTATGCGTAGGTTTGAGCTACGCAATATGATTGGTCAATGCGTAATAAGCTTCCGCGTCAAACATTATTTTACATAGAATATAGTTCGTCCTATATTAAAATATAGAAAATAATTGTTTTTACAAAAAGGTTTTATTTTATTTCATGATTATTTTGAGCATAAAAAATCATAAATCAATAGCAAAATACTGATTTCAGGAAAGTGGACTGTTTCCTTTAATATGAAACATGAAAGTACGAGTACAAGAATTGAGTAGGTCCATGCTCAATTCAAAGTGAGTATTTATCAGTACAGTCATGTGCAAAATCAATGCCCTTCTGTAAAATTGTTAGAGAGCTCAAGTTTGTTCTTCAATAAAAAACAAAATTCTAATGGATAGTGTTTTAACTATGGTTTTCATAATATGCAAATTGCAAGTGCCACATGTCAAACTTAACTTACATACTTAACTTGGTTGGCCCTGTAAAGACATTCATTGTGAATATATAAGGTATACCAACTATGGAAATTTTGGAGATGAGGAAATATCTTTTAATAATGGTACCTACCTTGACCTATTACATGTTACATTAACGCAACAGATAAGTCAGTCTTACCTATCATTATGTGCTATGTAGTTATAGGACCTAGCAGATGTTACATGTTGGGTTGGATAGGTTTTAAATGGTTTCAATCTGGTTTTCATGCGATGTTTTAAATGAATTGGTATGCTAATTACCAGGAAACTATGGTCTATAACTGCAAAATTTGTAGCAGAGGGAATTTGAATTCTTGCCATTTGCTTTAATTTAAAACTACTGCTGAAAGTACCTCCCTCGCACAGACAAAGAGTCAGACGCACAACTCACACAAGGGGCTCGACTAGAAAGGCTTCTAAAGGCCTCTGGTGGCTGACCAATCCCAATCCAAATTCCGTACTTTGTAAGTAAGCACCTGCACCATTTCTCAACAATTCAGCCCATATGCTTGATTGTGATTGAATGGGGTTCTTGCAGTCTTAGTATCAACCATGGCATAGTCCTTTATCACATAAATACACATAGACATTAATTCGCCCAAGGCAATATATACCGCCTGACGGTATATATACTGCGGAATTCGCATACACGAATTATTATTACGCGCAATTATACACGAATTCGTCTGAGTGATGTTATTAGGGAAATCCCACCAGCAAGTCAATATTACTCCGTAGTCGTTGAAATGAAGCACACACTGATTTCTAAGGCTAACCGATATCATTAATTTCTCTACTTTTCAACCATAATATATCGCCTGACAAATCAGTCCCACGCACAAGGGGGAAAAGCTCAAATTATTGAGCGCTCAAAATATTGAGCGTGTGACGTCAGAGGCTCCCATAGGCGTAATGCTGAGGGCTCAAAAAATTGAGCCGTTTCAGGAACACGTTTTGCAAAAGCAACTCGCAACACCTAGGGAGAAATGGCAACACCCTAGGAGAATCACTAATGATGCAAAACAGATTAGGCTTTCATATTTTTCACTGCTCAAGCTTCAATGATTGGGGGAACACCAATTTCTAGGTCGAAATCTTACGGCATACCAGGATGCCTTAAAAACAGGCCAATATTTATGTCGAAATAAAAGTTATTTTTCGTCCATTCACCTTTTTTACTAGGGTTCTGTTGGAAAGAGCAATTTTCATACTACCCAAAATGATTGCGACTCAATTTCACATCACCCATATCGGAGAATATTTTTCATTTGGCGGCGCCGTTTGTTTATTTCGTCGCGACGTCTTCGGTCGCGTGGTTGTCGTCGTCCTTGTGCTGAAGGTAAGTTTTTAACGTTTTAGTTATACTTAGATGTTAAAAGGTACACTGAAAAGTTTGAATATGCTGTGATTTTAAATTTGGAAACACGTAAAGGTCAATCAATTCACGTTTTCCTCGATTTGCGTGCAGATAAGTAACTGTCGACGAAAGTGGCGCCATCCGATATGATGTTTTGAGGGAAAGAGACACAACATATTTACGTGAATTTTTTTGTTTTTAGTGGTCTAAGTGCTTCAAAGAGGCTGTGAATGTTTTCTTCACACAATTTTTCATTAGGTATGATGAAGTAAAAGGTAGTTTCAGTCTTAACTTTCATATAATTGACATTAAAACATATGATAGTCCACTGCTATCAGTGATTGAGTACCTTGATATTTGGCATTTCTTATTAATTTGAATGTATTCTCTATTCATATGTCCTGATAGTAAGTGACAATACTCTGCCAATATGTTTCCATTGTTTTCACATTCATTTTCCAGTCCTTTACATAACATCACAATTTATAATCAACAAAACTCAACTCCTTCGTTACTTCACAACACTGACAGCATGACAGACTGACAGTCAACTATTGTGTGTGTGAATGCTGAAACAGGATAGCCACTTTGCTGACTGGCTCATTTGAAATAAGATAAAAATGATCCTTTATATCATTTCCATCTGGAGGATCGGAGTCAACGGAAAAGGAAGGCCACTTTCAAGCCTCAAGGTCTAGGCTGCCAGACGCCAGTTGGCAGTCACCACCAAATTTATAATAGATTAATTCATTATTATACTTTGAGACCCTTAGGTCACTGGATCGGCATCACATTTTCAGTTTCAATATAGTAAAGGTTTTTACTTGTATGATGTGAAATATTTTCCTGAATCAGAATTTAATTATCCCTAGGTACCTGGTAGAGGTTTCGGATTTATTGCTCATTGTTGGTGTGCAGTCAGGATTTTTTGACAGGTCCAGATAGGGAATCCTGAGCAATTTTATAGTAAAGTGGTCTCCTTATAATCACCACACATTTTATCAAAAGCATTTGTAGAATTCATTCAAGGAAGAATTTTATCAATGTTGCACCCATTTCTTAGACGACCTAGGCTGCATCTTTTTTTAGTTCCTGTTGTATGACATATTTTCCATTTTGTTCCACTGCATAAAGAAAAAAAAATCGTTTGAGATCACCAAACAGCTTTTCTTTTTCTGGCAGGTCTGCACAACCAAGCGTTCGCTGGCGAGGACGTCGGCCGTCCCTGTGGGTAAGGTCATCTGCTCAGCCTTTGTGGAGATCAGCAAGACGTCACCAAGATGAAGACTTCGCTGGAGCAGAAGCCGCTGACCCGTGTCCGATCGGGCAGGTCATGCTCGACGGCACGAGCCACAACTTGAACGACTCGGTGACATCAACAACATGGTGGAGCAGGTGAATGAGTCTGGCGATGTGTTGTGCAACTGCAAGAAGGGTTGTCTGCGTGTTCTGGCCGGCGGAGCGGCGACGCTGCGCAGTCTGTGCTGGTGGTGAGCAGCTGGCCGTGGTGACCGCGCGCGCCCACATGCGCCGACAACCTGTGCGGCTTCGACGGCCCCGGGACAGCCCGATGCCGCCCACTATGCGACGCCGACCGCGCACTGTCCGCACGGCCACATGGAGGTGTGCCCGCGCCTTTTGCCCGCACGCCGCTACCTCGCAGCTGGTCTGCAACCACGCCGTCGCCGCCTGTAGCCCGATAACAAAACGGCTGTCTGATAATGCCGCGTGTTTTTTGTGATGTTGCTACTGTGATGGTTGCTACTGCTGGTCTGAGACTCGATGTTTCCATTCGTCTTTTACATGTTAAGGATTTGATAATGATAAGCTTAGTCCGAGCTTAGGTCGTTTATATCATTTGTTATATGGCATATTTTGGATCAAAGCAGTACGACACTGCCTCCTGCTTTTGTGATGTATGCTGGCAAGACGCAGGTTCCGGTCTCAGGTCACCCGGTTCCAATGTGGTTGGGCTGGCATGCGATAATGTGATGTTGTTTTGCTCGTCTCTGTGTTCCACACTTGATGATGTTTGTGAATCTAACCCACATTGTATAGTATTTTTGTTTGTTTGCGGCGATGGCCTTGTAAGTTGTAACCGTGGCAATACAGTTTTTCCTGTATAATTCTCCAATATTCAAGCGTGGGTGGATATCTTTCTGTAATCACGTATTCCCTTCTCCCAGTACAGTCAGAAAATATCAATACAGTATTCATACGGATTATGCAAGCCCTGTATAATTATTTGAGGTGTGCCGAATCCGAAAGGCGACCGATAAAACTACTAGCGGAAAATGTGACATGATGCCATGGGTTTGTGAAAAGTTTAGGTACCACGTAGCATTCAACTTCCTGCATTTCTGTTTCAACTCAGTTTAACGTATTTCAACGAACATAACATAAAAAATGGCAGCCAGTACCGGCTTCACCTGTCACGGAGAAGGCTCAATAAATTGAGTGTAGATGCTGGCCGGCACTCAATTTTTTGAGCGCCAGCTGACTGTCGTCTGTCGTGGCGCTCAATTTATTGAGTATCGCGGTCCCGAACGACAAGTGGCGCTCAAAAAGTTGAGCGTCTTTAGGGCATTTTCTTTCCAAAAACACCGATATTAATTATCACGGCGAGTGTTCGAGAAGAAACCTTGTTGCTCTCTCTTGCCATTGATACCTTATTTGGATACGATATTTGCCGTAGTGTGACGCTAGAGGCATTGTAAAATACCCTCGTTTCGCCTATTCCTTCATAATGGGGCCCGCTCAATTTTTTGAGCGCTCAATTTTTTGAGCTTTTCCCCCTTGTGCGTGGGACTGAAATGACGAATGAAAACAAAACGGTAAAAACAATTAAAATTACTTGAGTTTTTGCCACCGCATTTGCAATTATGTAATGAATGTCCCACCACCGCCGAGAGCGCCGCAAATGTTGTTTACAAAATCAGCTGTTGTGGATGACA